ATTCCAACCACCTGAAGAAGGCCGGAGTGTACAGCGGCTGAAACGTTGTGAAAAATATGGTGACAAAGATGATGACCTTAATCCGACTAATGTAAATACTGAAATCTTTTCATTTGTATCCCCTTACTTCTTAAAACAACGACCATCATTATGATTGTTATTGCAATATTTTGTTAAAGTTGTTAAGTTCAAATATTTAACCCTGTGATAGGGGGAAATTCTACGGATGTTTTATTGTCATAGAACTCGCCATGAGCTTATTCAATCATTAACTGAAGAATTAAGATTCATCAAAAATTTCAAATAGGAAAACCGTGAAATTTTCACGGGTCTTTCTAATGAAAAATAATTTCACTATCGAAATGCTTAACAAATTATTTTACGAAAGAAGCGAAATCAAAATAATTTTAATGTAAAAATAGATTTAAAATGATTTCTCTGCTATAATGTATTACAATCTAAAGCATTAGCTGTAATTATAATGAGACTGACGGCATTCTTGTAATGATTTCAAATCTTGGGCTGCTAATTAATACTGACAGGAGAAATATAAGCGAACCATATTTATTTGATCAGATAAGCTCAGAGTGAAAAGACTGATTTACCACTGAGAGGAACAGAGCCTCATCTACCCGTAAATGAGATCGTAATTCAACGTATCTTCCCAATCTTTGTTTCCAGTTTTGCATATTTTTATTTATTTACGAATAAAGTCTCTCATTGTGTTATAGTGGAACACACCTATTCTATTGTTAATAGACTCTCCCACCTATAATAAGTAGGAGTAGTAGGAGTCGCTGAGTCGCTCAGTGGGTCAGTCTGAGTTCAGTCTGAAGTCGGACGACCGGCTGACCGGTTGAATTCTCTGCCTTCGGGCGGGGAGGAACCCTAACGAGGATACGCCGAAGGGCGGAGTCACTTTTGGGGAGGTAAACCGACCCTGAACCCGTTTATACAGGTTTTAAAAGGGCATATTTTTGGCCGAGCCCACGGGCTCGGAGATCCCACGTTAAACCGGCCTTGTGCCACATGACGCCCTCGTAGTGGTTGGGGCGGGGGTGACTGAATATCGCACAGTGGGTCGGTCAGTCAGTCGATGCCGGACGACCGTTAGTCGGATACTAAAGCATCAGCGACCACAACTAGATTACTCTGCATCATTACCTATTATATCAAGTTCCTAACGTTTTGTACGTCGAACCTATTTTATGACCGACTTAGTACAAATACAAGCCTCCACTCTGATACCATTTCATAACACATTGTCAACTCAAAGAGAAATAAACGTGAGATATTTCTACCCAAAATTGTTTTGTTGTTCTGAGAGTGGGGTGTAAAACAAGTTTCAACTGCGTTGGCGAGGGCAGGGTCTCTGATGGGTTTGGGGGTCCATGGCTCCCAATCTAAATTTCGAAAAATTCCTCACTGTTCGATTCGGCCAACAAATTTTCGTTTGTCTAACGGTATATCAACTCCTTAAGTAATAAAAAATATATGTTATTCTGCATTCACAAGTGAGTACATGGTAGATGATACTCAGCTTTAGTGCATATAATGCTTGTACGAACATAACTACTTGAAGTGGTGATATGTGGGTTTTGTTGAAATTATATTTTAAAATACAGTTTCATTTCTTTAAGGATATTATTTGGATTGATGTCATGAAAGTTTTTTTTCAAGTTGGTTGTTTAGCTGAATTAATTTAGCAGCATGTCAACCTCTATAGGTTATTTAATGCCGAAATCTAAATATTTTGAACGCAACTTCATACCTTTAACTACAGATAAAATGTATTGTTGGTAATTTTACCATAAATATATATTATTGGCAATATTACTATCACAATGCATTTTTAACGTTCATAGTGATTTTTTATCACCCATAGTTGGGACCATAACAGGTGTTACCATCCCGGGTCAGGATGAAATGTGAACAACAGCAGTTAAGAGGTGGTTCCACGCTCCGCAAAACCTCCGATCTTTCGATCAGTGGCCTTGCTGCCGGATGTAGTTTATCGTTTATTTATTTAGTAGAACAGCATGAGTAGGAAGAGCCATATGCTAGGAACTGTGCAAAGAATGTTGAGTTAAGCTATGCCAATCAATGCTATCGGCACAAACTGGAGCATTTTCATGTATAAAAATAAACTAAAAACTAAAACATCTTATTAGAGGGTTCAAAAATTAATCAATATTATAAAAAATGGCCATATTAATAAAAGGATTAGAGGAAAATAGAAAAAAGAAAAAAATGACAACTACAGTCAAGATAAATTCAATACGAACAGAAAAGAAACTGATACAAAAAAAAGTAGGTATATTTATAAACACTGAGGCCCCACAACCGGTTTTTTTTATTTTTTATTTTTTTTTACAAAGATGGCTGTCGCGATTTAATATAAATCGTCCCTGGAAGTTTGAAGTTATTGTCGGAATGTAACCTACTCAAAACTAAGAACATACCCTCACGGAAGGACAACGCGTGTTGATACGAACGTGGGCTGAAAAGTCCATAAGCTGCATGTAAAAGATTGATGCTGGAGTTCTGAAATAATACATGTATTAATTTCAACTCTTTTTATTAATAATTGCATTGTTTCTTTCTACGTACGGGCGTGGGCTGAAAAGTTAATGAGCTGATTATGAAGGAACAATGTTAGAACTGGGAAAATACTGCATGTATTCATTTCAACTCTGGTTAAAAACTGCATTGTTTCATTACAAGTAAACCAATATCTGGTTGTCAAAGAAGACTTCAACCGGAACTAGGACAGACTTCACTTGAAAACGGACATTTGGCATCATGGTGTTATCATATATCTACAGTAAAAAAAAACGGCATATCAACCTCAATGGGTTATTTAATGCCGACAACATTTTTAGGATAGATTCGTATGAATAGAATATGTATTCTTTGGTTTAGATTGGTTTGGTTTGTTTTGTTTTACGGCATATCAACCTCAATGGGTTATTTAATGCCGACAACATTTTTAGGATAGATTCGAATGAATAGAATATGTATTCTTTGCTTTAGATTAGTTTGGTTTATTTTGTTTTACGGCATATTAACCTCAATGGGTTATTTAATGCCGACAACATTTTTGCGGATAGATTTGTATGAATAGAATATGTATTCTTTGGTTTAGATTGGTTTGGTTTATTTTGTTTTACATCATATCAACCTCAATGTGTTATTTCATGCCGACAAAATTTTGGGAATAGATTCGAATGAATGGAATATGTATTCTTTGGTTTACATTGGTTTGGTTTGTTTTGTTTTACATCATATCAACCTCAATGGGTTATTTAATGCCGACAACATTTTTAGGATAGATTCGTATGAATAGAATATGTATTCTTTGGTTTAGATTGGTTTGGTTTATTTTGTTTTACGGCATATCAACCTCAATGGCTTATTTAATGCCGACAACATTTTTAGGATAGATTCGTATGAATAGAATATGTATTCTTTGGTTTAGATTGGTTTGGTTTATTTTGTTTTACGGCATATCAACCTCAATAGGTTATTTAATGCTGACAATATTTTTAGAGTAGATCCGTATAAATAGAATATATATTCTTTGCTTTAGATTAGTTTAATTTATTTTGTTTTACGGCATATCAACCTCAATAAGTTATTTAATACCGACAACATTTTTTATCGCTGGTAATGTTTTGTTAAAAATCTGTTTTTGGTAATACTTTTTCTTCAAAATTGTATTGCTGCTAATAAATTTTTTCAAAAGTGTATTGCTGGTAATAGTTAACTATTTACCCATAGCTGTGGCCATAACAGGTGCTAGTACCCCGGGTCAGGATGGACCTGGGAACACCACCAATTAAGACGTGGTTCCACGTTCTTCAAAACCTGTTGATCAGAGGCCTTGATGCTGGATGTAGTTTATCATCTTACCCAGGACGTGGATGTAGTTTATCGTTTTACCCAGGACGACCTAGGAAGATCTCCTCTGTATTTCTGAGATGAGGTATGATAATTATTTATATTATTTGCAATGTTCGGAATGTTGTGCTCATCTTTATTGACATTTTCACGTGATCGTAATTTCAGGTTATCGGAATTTTGAACTGAACCCTTTATTTTGTCCACCGGAGTAGATTGCTCCCGTTCCACGTGCCATGTCGCTTCCGGATATCTAAGTATCAGTTATCTCCCTTTAACTCAACTCTACAAGTTTTTTCGTCCACCTTAGCCAAGTATTGAACACATAACTCTTTGGGTCAAGTCAATGAATTAAACCAATGCTTTTATCCACCGTGTCATATGTCCTTGAGGATGATGCTGGAGAATTCAGGGGATTATAGTAATTAATAATACTGAGGAAGGTGCAGGAGAATTGAGGCGATTACTGTCATTAATCCTCAGACCTCTAGTGAAAACAAGTATATACATAAAACATGAAACTAATAAATGATACTGTGGAAGGTGCTGGAGATCTGAGGAGATTACTGTCATTAAACCTCAGACCTCCAGTGGAAACAAGTATATACATAAAACATGTAAATACTAAATGATACTGTGGAAGGTGCTGGAGATCTGAGGAGATTACGGTAATTAATCCTCAGACCTCTAGTGGAAACAAGTATATACATAAAATATGAAAATAATAATTGATATTGTGGAAGGTGCTGTAGATCTGAGGAGATTGCAGACATTAATCCTCAGACCTTTAGTGAAAACAAGTATATATATATAAAAGATGAAAATAATAAATGATACTGAGGAAAGTGCTGGAGATTTGGGGAGAGTTACTGCCACGCAGTTTTCAGAGATATTAATTGATTCGCTTATTGTTTGACGGTTTATCAACCTTTTACAGGTTATTTAAAGTCAGGAAATATTTTTTGAGTGTATATTTTTTGGAGATATTAACAATATGTATTTGCACGTAAGTGAATTTAACAAACACAACCGGAATTGGAACTCGGCTCTCCAGTTTCCAATTCTGAACAGTTATCTATTACACCATCCGCACATCCATGATTACAGCACCAAGTATTCCGAAGAGATAACGCTTTAAGGTACTGACCAGGCTCGACGTTGCTTAACTTCGGTGATCGTACGTGAACCAGTGTTTCGACGTGTTATGACCATAAGCCGTCTTCAGTGATAACCACTTGGCTTCTAGTAAAAATATGCAAACGTAATAATGATAAGCGATACTGAGGAAGGTGCTGCATTCTTGAGAAACATTGCAGTCACTCAATCCCTCTGACGATCACCATCGTTGACGCAAAGTTAATTTGCAAAAAGAATAGTCAATTATCTTAGGCATGAAAGAATATACAAAAACATTAAATAATACTGAGGAAGGTGCTGGCGATCTGGGGAGATTACTGTCATTAATCCTCAGACATCTAGTGGAAACAAGTATATACATAAAATATGAAAATAATAAATGATACTGTGGAAGGTGCTGGAGATCTGAGGAGATTACTGTCATTAATCCTCAGACCTCCAGTGAAAACAAGTATATACATAAAATATGAAAATAATAAATGATACTGTGGAAGGTGCTGGTGATCTGGGGAGATTACTGTCATTAATCTTCAGACATCTAGTGGAAACAAGTATATATATATGAATGCCAAATGTGTTTTAATTTTAAGATAACAGTGTTAGATTGCTATGTGGTGTCCATCCTGTTATATGGAAGTGAATGTTTGATAATTTCCCAAAGAATTCAGGGGGGGGGACTAGAAGCAATAGAAATGTGGTTCTACAGAAGGATACTGAAAATTCCATTGGTGGAATCTGTAAGTAATAAGGGAACCTTAAAGAAAATGATAACAGACAGAACGCTTCTACTCAGAATCCCGAAAAGTCACACTGAAATTCCTTGGAGGAAAAGAGGGACTGGAAAACATAATCCTCACGGAGCATATTAAGGGCACATCTGATCTGGTGCTACTGATATATAGAGATTCTTGCTAAAATCCAAAGAAGAGTCTGCAATGTTATAGGTCCTAATCTGGCATCTCAGCTTCAGTTCGTTTGCTATCACCCTAACGTATCTTCCCGGTGTCTTTTCTATAAATACTTTCATGGTAGATGTTCTGATGAACTTTCCTCTATATTACCTCGAGGCGGTGTAATGGTTAGCAAACTTGGCTCACTAGAACAATTACGACTGAGTAGTGAGTTCGATCCTCACTGGGTGCCCCCTAATTTCGGCCTTGTGCCACATCTAAGCTACGCTTGAAAAATCACATAAGAGGTATTATAGTGGTTGTAGTAAGAAAGGTACGTATGAATGTGTTGTTTTGGTGTAAGGAATATTACGATTGGGTTAGTGTTTGCTGCTAGCTAAGTTATAGTTAAGACAGAAGAAGACCGTCGTTTCCCCAATCACCTTTTCGGCCTTGAGCCACATTTCTGTAGAAAACAGAATAAATATCACTTTCCTCTGTTACCTAGACTCTATGAATTTAAGTGCATTGCTAGATTGGCAGGTAGGTCTCATCATTTTACAGTTTGAAATGACTGCATGTAACCGTAAGTTCTATGCCAACAGTTTCTTCTGTCGCACTTCTCGCTTGTTGAACTCTCCTCCGGCTTCTTGTTTCCAAGTAAAAATTTAATCTTCAAAAAGTTATATGCACTGTCAATCGTTATCTTCTGTCTTCTTAATTTTAATTCTTTTTTGTTCTATCTTCTTAACAGTAGTTTTTATTATATTATCTAACACTAAATAAACCTCTTGCGTCCTAGTGGCTTTATTGCCTTACTTGGGGTGAAAGAGAGATAGGGAAAGCAGCGAGACATTTACCTAGTGCGCTTGTGTTAATAGATGTCAGAACGAGGGCTTTAGCAAAGAGAGAAAAGAGCTACGCGAGCTAGGAAGTTGTGGCGGGCCATGATCATCTATGTACGGAAGGTACGCAATGCATAGAAGAATACACATTAATTCTGTTCTTGGAACCACATCGAGGTAAACAAGATGGGTAATTCTGATTTAATGTTCTAAAATCATTGGGCTGTTGTTTACAATTGATTTTAACAGAAGCTCTGAAGTTCCACACAAGAAACAACCGTTCGTTAAACTGACTGTCCAAAAGAGGGCGCTGGCAATTAGTAAGACACTCACACAGTTTTAAAAGCTGACCATCACCTTTTCCCCTCGACTATAGACGATTCACATTGACTAAGACGTAGTCAGTTTGATCAATCGACCATGCCGTATTAATTATGTGAAGAGAAAAGCGAAACCGGCGAAGAGATTGTGGCACGGGATGGGGGAACCTTTTCTCAGGGAATCTACCGATCTTTCTTTCGAGTACGACTGCAGCTAAGGCGCCAAGTAATGTAGCGATGGTTCGCGGTATTGATTCGAAGTCGGAAACGATCGTTGCTGGAGTGACAAATGTTTCACTGCAGATCACCAATGATGGATAACTGGACGAGGAGTTCACATGAGCTGGAAACGGACTGAGAGATGCATGAGAACTGCCTTTAGTCTGGGCAGTCAGAATCGAGCCGTCCATAGCACTCGTCTTCCAACACACCCACCTACTCCATCGTCACGTCCAGTTACCGACTAGCACTTCCTTCGAGAATTGATGACTGTGTCGGGAATCGAATTACAGTAAATGAGGCTTGCACGGTAACACCGTCAACCCATTTTTTTTTTTTTTTTTACTCACCCAAAAGAATCAAGCCAGGGACAAATGTTCATTATGACGGCTACCGAGAGAACTCTATTTTAGATAATGTCTCTCCACAGCTTCCTTTTCTTTATTATACGTGAATTGCAATGCGTTCTTTGTAGAAATATTGGAGCGCTCTTCCGTTGCGTTTTCTGTGGTATTCTTTCTCTTAGACTGGTTGCCAGCCAAGGCTAGGGAGCTCAGTCTTCGCTGCTATTTAACCTATAGATGGGGGAGGAGAAGACGCGGGTTCATGTATTTTTAAATATGAATGTGGACAGGCCGGAATTTGAACTCACAGATTCGATTTATCGATACTAATAACAGTGGTCAGAAAACAGAATTTCGATCTATAAAGTTTGTTTCATTTCCCCTTACGACAGGATGCGTACTAACATTGGATAGTTATCTCCAAAATATTCTGTCATGAGTAGTCAAATTTAGTCCCAGGCTGCTACAGTGATCCCCAGATCAGCACTCTCACATCAGCCCGGGGCTGTTGATCCGCTCTCATGATCTTATAGTAAAGGCCTGGAAGTGGTTCAAACTCGTTTGAAAATCTTTGGTTTGATCTATTTATTTATTTAGGAATAAGTTATACAATGACATTTTTTTTTCAGGAGATAGGTGATCAGGGTCTCCTAAAACTTCTTTACTAACCTGGAATCTAAGCCATCACAATAGGGTTTTTATATCGATGAATAACTTCTTGCTTTTCTATTATGGAAGTGGATACTCTTCCTAAAAGTGGATGCTGGATAATCTCGTCAGAGATGAAGACGAGAAGCAACAGATATGTGGTTCTAATGAAAGTGGTTGACAATACACGGACTGAACATGTTGAGAAAAAAAATAAGGTTTTAGAGAAACTTGAAACAAAAAGGACACTTATATTTGATATCGAGAAGAGACAATTGAAATTACTAGGGTACATAATGAGGATAGAGGGTTTGGAAAACTTGATACTCACCGGACAGATTGAGAGCAAGAGGGACAGAGGAAAAACACGTAACATGAGCTTGAGTAAATTGATAGCAGAACAAGGTTGATGAAAGATAACAAAAAGACAAAATTTATTAAGAGCTCCAAAGGTCAGGAAAATGTGGAGAGCCATAATCGTCTACGTCTTGATGTGACTCGGCATATAGAAGAAGAATGAACTTGAGAAAATAGCTACCGGAGTAAGGTTTACAGGAGATAAAAAGGCAAATTTTATTAAGAGCTCCAAAGGTCAGGAAATTGTGGAGAGCCATGATCGACTACGTCCTGATGGGCCTCAGCAAATTGAAGAAAATTAAATTTGTAAATAGGTGGCGGAGCAAGGATTTAGAGAATAACAAAAAGAGGAATAATTTCAAGAGCTGTAAAGGTCAGGAAAATGGGGAGAGCCATAATCGGCAACGTTCTGAAGAATAAGAAGACCGCTTTCAGTACTTTTAAGGAATCACTTCTATGTCTCATAATTCAATACATACATAACAATTAAATTATGTGATTTATTTATTAATTAAAGTTAACTATATTTAATAATTAATTATAATTCATAATTAATTATAATTTAATCATATTGAATCAATATATTTATATTAAATTAAATTGACTCCGTATATATGATGAATACACATCAATTTACTTATGTCTAAATCAATGATCCTCAATGTGGGGCATTTTAATATTTTGGTGGGACATGTGTAGGATGTGTACCCTTCGGCTTACTATACCAACAGAATAAAAGGTCCAATTCGAGAATGAGTTATTAAAAGTGTATTGTTTTCTAGTGAGCTCAAATTTCATTTTGCATTATTATTAACTGATTAAAATGATCAAAGTATATTATAGAATAAATTTTCATTCAAATATTTTATATTTCTGTCTTTCAATTCTCTATTAAATATTTTGAAACTATATTTTACTGTTTTTTGATATTTTTAATTTTTCTCTTTCATGGACGTCATGGTCTTTGGAGTTTTGTTTAGAGATCAAGTTAATGACCTTTTAAGCTTCCTTCACGTGAACTGCAGTAAAATTTCGAATATTTAAGAATTAAATATTACGAGGGGGGTACCAGAATTTTAGAAATTGGCAGGTGATGTTATACCCCAATTATGGGTTAAATATTAATACTTGTATCACTAAATCATTATCATCTTCAAAATAAAATTCTTACAAGCTAAGAAAAATATTTTATGGCTTTAAACAACCTGCAAAGGGTCGATAAGCTGTAAAAAACGAACCAAATCAAATCAGAGACAGTTGTAATTCCTTAATGAGGAAGAAATCCTCGCCCACGAGGCCTTCTTGGCCAGTAGTTTTGTGTAACAGAAAGTTACGGCTACGTACGCACTTTCATGTCAGTTATTTTGCCAGACTGTCGCTCATCTGCTATCTGCAAGATAGCAGTAAAAGTCATGGGTGATTGCCGAGAAAGTGGTACCTTCGATAGTGGTACC